TCGATTCCAAGGTGCTACGACGAGCCGGCCGCCGAGAGGCTTAGCCGAGCGGGAGACGTGGCGTGTAAACGGCACATGCCGGAACAAAGTTGTCGCGTAGCCATGCGTCGTGCCGCAGGGCTGCCATCATTTGGAAGAGGCACAATGCTTGAGTGTTCAGCAGCAGGTGTTGGAGGTGCAGCTTGGTCAAGAACGCGGTTCGTTGGGCGGCTGCCTCAGGCGTCACAAGGGGCGCCTCGGGGCGAAAGACTCGGTCGTTGCGGGCAAGCCAGACGGTGTGGAGCACGCACGCGCGGAGGATTACGGTATTGATCGTACATCGCTCTCATGACCGCATGTCCACAGCGTTGGCGGATCCCAACACGAAGTGTTTCCGTGGGAGCGTCGTCGACGTGTCCATCGAGTTTGGTCAACTTCCAGTCCCCTGTCGATTGGACGCATTTAATACGATGAAAAAAACATGCATAAGCTGATATCCTTTTATGGGTTGGTGGTGGCCGCCGACGCAACTTTGAGCTGCTCCATCAATCGCGTAAAGAGCAATTCATCGTCGGTCGGTGGCGCGGGCTCGCCGTCCTTGAGCACGATCGCCCAGCTTGCACGCGGCTCAATAGACGCCTTGTCGTTGCCAATGCCGTATCCCATGTGGCCCGCAAACATGAGCGCCTTGCGTTCCGTCCCGTTGTCATCGATGGTCACGTCGACCGTGAGGTACCCTGGCGGAATGGAGTCACTGTCGACGAGCGGGTACTGCAGCACGACTTCCACGAAAACAAAGTCGCTACGCTTGAAGGAGCTATGATCCGCGTCGGGCTTGTATCGCAACTCGTTAAGCGTTCGCTTGTCGCCTTGCCATTTGCCCTCGTCGTTGAAGACACAAAAGACGCTGAGCCAGCCGCTGATGTAGTTGGTGCCCGACCCAGCATGGTGATGGCTGCAAATATTGTTCCAGAACGCCACATCGACGAGTCCGGTGGCCGATGCAACAAACTGGTCGAAAATCGGCGCCAGGAGCGCCGTCCACTCCTGCATGCGTGAGCCGTATGCTGCGAGCTTGTCGAGTCGACTGCGAATGTCTTGCCAGTCGTCGACCGTACCAAGCAATGTCACGTGCGGAATGCCGCAGAGAAAGCTATACGAGTAGCTAAAGTACTTCTTCATTGTCGCCATGAGCATGACGCTAGCGACAATCACGTCGTGGTGTGTCGTCGTTGAGAACGCTGGAAGCAACCAGTCTTTGAGGCTCGGGTCCGCGAGGTGGTCGTCCATGAGGTCGACCCATTGCGCCGCGAATGCACCAAAGTCGGCCGTCCACAAGGACGCATCCGAGTCGATCGTGAGCTCCTTCTGGCCGTCGTGCTGAACGAGCAAGTGCCGGAGTTCGTCCGCGTTGGCGACGACGTACAGGCCAAATTGCGTAAGAATCGCGAGCCACACGTCGTCGGGGCGGAGCACGAGGTCGTGGTGTCGATTGTAGGCCTCCATGACGCCACGGACAAAGCCGCTGTCCGAGGCAACAACAGGCCCGGCATTGACGGCTTGGACGATACTCTTGCAGCCTCCTTTTTGAAATTCTGGCAAGAACGTCACGGGCGAGTCGTCCACGGGGACGACCTGGCACACAGTGCGCGCGACGGACGCAACAGGAAATGTGACCATGGCGGTCGATTGAAGTGTGCACTCGAGCATCACGTTGTCCTACCGTTGCACATATCGCACAAAACAACGCGGCAGTCACTACAACCCAACAGCACGAGAACGAATGCGGCAAGAATTCGAACGCGCCTCCGTTTTGGGTGGCTCCACTGCTCAAATAGTGTCGTGCTAGAAATGTAGACATGGTATTTCACACTGTCAGTCGTAGAACGCTTCGGCAGGTCTCGCAGGCTAACAAAAGCGCGGTCGTGGACGGCTCTATTCGCTCAAATCCAATCGCGCTTGACGAAATATGGAATGCTGGCGTTTGCCGGTGCAACCAACGCAACATAACAAAATGGCCCAAACGCTCGCGAGATTCTATCAACTTGATAATTTTGCATCTGCTGGAGTCCACCATGTGCGATCGCGACGCCATTTGCACCACTTGAAGCACAGGCCCTTGGATAGAAGAACGATACGTTGGCTTACTCATACAACGGCAACACACAACAACTGCAACGGCAACCTTGTTTGCGAATGTTGCCCCCGCTTTCGTGTGTAGGTACGTACAGCAATTCCATCGAAGGTACATTGTGCTATTTCTTCCATTGCCTGGACCTCATTTGAGAACAACGTATTCCGTCTTGGGCGCGTAGACGCGCTGAATCCCCAGCGCGTGCGCTCTCCGAAGATCGACAACGTCCATGGCTTGTATCGCGTCCTGCAAATACTGCAATCGTTGCTCGTACGTTTGGCGCCAACGAATGTGATTGTCGCTCATGAACGACACGCGAAACGTGAGCTCGCCGTCGGGTTCGGCGTCCTTGTAATAGTACACGGGTGCAGCAATCTCAACCTTCCATTTGCCGACATCAAGGTTTGCAGTGGCACGGTGCAGACGCCAATCAAACGTGGTCCATGCCTCGTCTTCTGGATGACGCGCACCTCGAGGGTCATGGAAGATGCCAGGTCCACCTCCGACACAAACACGGAGTCGCCCCATTCGACGCAGGCGCCACGCTGCTCACCCACACGAGTCCGCGACTGGGTGGTGCCGAGCTTGAGGTGGCACTGAATCTTTGAGCCGTCGGTGCCTGTCCCGATACGGCCCACCACGCGCTGCAGGACAACCTGGATCGCTACCGGTGCCACTGGCGGTAGATTTGGGAAAACGCTGGCTTCGGCCTCTTGGCGCAGGCTGTCAACAACGTCGATCATCGACGGGCGACATGAAGGCTCGATGGTGAGGCACTGGTGTACCATCACGGACACGGGGGTCGTTCGACTAAGATCGTGCTGCAAAAGCGGGTCCCCTTCCTCAAGATGCTTGAGACGACATCGAAGCGCATGGTGCGAGAACGGTCTACCCGATACTGCGTTGATGCAATTGGTGTAGGGCAGTTCGTCGGTCGTGAAATACACGAGGAGCAAGCCGAACGCGAAGACATGAGCTTTTTTCCGAGGGAGAATGTCCCCGAATGTCTCTGGTGCCACCAAGTTCTCATCGTCGTCACGAACCCTCACGTCGCTCGCCATGGGATCGTTCATGTGGCACATGCCCGTAAGCACGACGTGGTAAGCGTCATCAACAAGCACGTGGGCGGCGTTGATGGCGCCATGGGTGCAGTTCATTGCGTGGAGCTCGGAGAGGCCGCGAGCCATCGTCAAGGCAACATCAAGGCGTGTGGTCCATGACGTGTTCATGTTCGTAGGGCCGAGCACCGAGCGAAGCTGCCGCGGAGCGCAAGTGCCATGTACACGACGGGGTCTTGGCTGATCGCGCTCAGCCCGGAGGCGCCGACAATCTTGGCAAGCGTGTCACTGCTGACATGGAGCCTAGGAGCCGACGTGTCAGAATGTGTCGCGTCGACGCCGAGATCGACGCGACTCTGCCACGCAACGACAAATCCCACCTCGACACATGTGACATCGACCCTATTGTTTCTTCGGCAAGCGAGTGTACACCTCCCTACAAGACGAACCCAAAACGTCAACCGAGTAAGACGCTTATATGTCGTCCGCGTTGCAATATTAAACGTAGAAACACTAGATACCTCATTTTACTTGGACGACGTTGCCACTTGGAGCTTGAGTCCGAGGATGGACTCTTTCTTCTCGCCGACAATCTGACTTGTGAGCGACGGGCGCACCGAGTTGAGCCCCGTGTACTCGTGGTGGAGCATCGCGGCCCAGCCGTTTTGGCCCTCGCTGTACCGGTGGCCATAAACAAAGTACGAGAGGATCGCGAGGCCGACCCAGCCGCAGCAGAGACCAATGTCCCGCGCGCCCATTTGCGCAATGAGGTACCAGTTGCACGTGATCGCGAGTGCCGGCACGAACGGTACGAGCGGCGACCGGTACATGTCGGGCGACCCGACGTTCTGGGGGCAGAGAAAGTAAATTCCAAAGGTGATGACGACGACCGCCGCGAGGAGCAGCATCGACGCGATGAGGTATCCGGTCGCGGGCTCGGTTGCAATCACGTAGCCCTTCTGGAAGAGAAACATCGAGGCGAGCGAGACAGCCACCAGCGCGCCGGTCAGCTTGTACGCAATCGTTGGCGCCGACTCGCGGGTCCGGACCAAAATCAGCGCCGAGTTGGTCATGTTGAAGCCGACCAGAATACCGAGCGAGACCAAGTTCCAGAGGTAGTCGAACGGCACAAGGAGCGCAATGATGGTGAAGAAGACGCCAGTGATCAACGTGTTCCAGAAGAGGTTGCCCTTCTTGTCGACCTTGCCAAAGATGGGCGGGCAGAGGCCGTCAACCGCCATCGCATACAAGACGCGCGGCTGCGCGAGAAACCCCGACGAGGACGACGGATCGGCATGGTGCAGACCTCGCCAATGTGCACGATCGTGCCCGCCCAG